CTTTAGCTGAGGAAAGAATTAAAATACGTTGGAGTATTTGTGTAAACTGGAACATATAAGTCTCCTGTCATAAGATTCAGCGTACTTATTGATCCCAGCTGAAGAGGAAGAGCTGACTTCTTGAAGGCTTCCCTCCCCCAGGGGTACAATGCCAGCATGAGCAGGGCATGTAAAGGAACATTTGGCTTACCTTGCCTCAAGATACTTCTGACATTGCAACCAATGTCATCCTGCTTTGCCTCATGGTGGCTCCCTAGGTGCCCAGCATCTCACCTGGTTTCACATTTTACTCCCATAGTGTGGCACAACCGGTAAATGCCAACACCCGCCTGTCCAGTGTCTCGTCACACGACTCGGGCTTCATCTCGCAGGATGCCGTGTTCTCCAAGCCTCCCTCGCCAATGCCCTTGGACATCACCAGCCAGGTGAGCTAAGTGCAAACAGAAGGAACCATGGCCCCATTTGTACTGGTGACCCCCCCCCCGCAGCCAGGTAGGCTGGTGCCATCTCCTGAAAGAAGCTGGTGGCCGCCTAGGGACCTCCTCTCCTGGGAGCGATTCGGGATTTTCTTTCCCTGGCCAGCCCCCTTGGAGTCTGATTTGTACAGGGAGGGCTGTCCTTTTGCACCGGGGTGTCCCTCGGGAAAGGATTGGGCCCGTTCCTTTTTGAGGAAGAAGGTGAGCCGCGAGGGAGCCTGAGGAACCCTGAGCCTGGGAGGAGCTGGAGCCCCCTTGGAGCTGCTGCCAGTGGGAGCCGCTTCTTGGACTGGGAGAAGAAGAGGGCATCTCTGGGTTTCCTTGTCCAATTCAAAGGCTAATGCTGGCATTACTGCAGCAGATCTCCAAAGGTGACCCTGGCATGAGGACAACGACCTGGGGGGCTTCTGGCTTCAGGGGGCTCTCAGGATCCCTCTGGTTGCTTACAGTTCGGGAGCTGGAAGTCAGGAGGAGGGAGAGTCCAGTTCTCAGGAGGTCTTTGTCACCGCAGGCAGGAGGGGGGAATTTTTCTCCCCCTCATGACGGTCTGTGAAGGATTGGACTCCTCCTCCTCCTCCTCCAGCTGAAGCCCTTGCCCAGCCCATTTACCTCTCTGGGTGAAAATGGTAACAAGGCTGCTTCTTGGAAACCCTTCCTTGCATGGCGAGGGCCTCTGGGGCAGAGTTGCCCAGAGTCTGGGCACAAAGACATGGAGGCCATCTCTCGGGTACGAGAGGTTCTCCCCTTTCTCCCAGCTGCCTGCCATTTTCATTTCCTCCTGGGCCTGGGCCTTGTCCCGTCTCCTCCATCGTCTTCCCAGCCTCAGGACAGTCCAGCCCCAGATGAAATGTCCCAGGGACATTTGGAATGTGGCATGTGGAAGGAAGCTGCTACTGCTGCTGCCCCACATGTCAGTCAAGCTGCACTCTGTCTCTGCTGCCGCCATTGGCGCCACCGTCCTCTATAACAGGTTCTTCTCTTCCTTTCTGTGCATGCCTGTTTTGCTGCTGCCGCCGGTCTGCCTTGGGGCATGCCAGAAGTCCTCCAGCTCTGCATCGTCCGAAGCCTCTGAAACATGCCAATCTGTTAGTGAATGCAACTCCCCAACCTCGGTTAGTTCTGGCTCTGCCAGCGGACTGTGTTCGGGTGGCCAAAAGGTGAAGCTTGAGTTCCCCCTCCCTTTCCCTCCCCCATTTTATTTTGGGGCCCACCTGCACCTGGTGAAGAGCTGGTGCATGCCACAAAGCTCTTGGAGGGCAGACGCTCGGCCTTGGCCCCCTGCCCCAGTGCTGGTTTGGCTGCGTTCTGCTCTGTGACCAGCCGTGACCCTGGACTCCCTGGCCCTGAAGCCTTGCCGGCCTCAGCTGGTGGGACGTCCACTCTGCACTTGGCAGGGCCAGCGACCCCGGAGCTTCCTTGACTTTCAAGAGACCAAAGCTCTGTCTCTGTGAGGGGCTTGAAGCAGCCAGGCAGGAGGGCCAGGCAGGAGCCTCCTGGGGGAAGATGCACCTGCCATGGGGAGGATGCAGTCCCTGCCCTCCGGCCTGCAGGCACCAGGACCCAGCGGGCACTTCCCTCCGCCGGGAGTTTGATCACTTTGAGCAGTCCTTCCCTGCCCTGGGATGGACCAGTTCTCCTCCCTCAGTTGCCACCCCACAAGCTCAGCAGGGGTGCAAAGACCTTTCCATCCTCTCCATCTTTAGAGCTGCTTTTGTTTTCAATCCTCGGTCCTCCTTCCAGCCTTCCACTCTCTGCAGAGGAAACTCATCCCTTAGCAGATCTTTGTGGAGCTTGAGATCCAGCCCCGTGACCCCCTTGCAGTCCTTTGGCAAAGACCTGAGAAGCTCAGGGCACCTTCTTAAGTATTAAGGGGCCTCAGGAAAGGACCGGGCAATGTGGCGGAGGCTGGGCAAACTGCCAAAAGGTTGCCATATCTTTCATAAACACCTGGTTAGGATCTGGATCAAAAGGAAACTAAATGAAATGCCTTTATTAAATCATACACAAGACCCCCACTTATCGATAACTGTTTTGGAGCTTTCTGCTTAGTGGAAATGGCCAGAGTATCTGGCCGGCTGCTCCAGGGGATACCCAGGGTCCTAGCGCAGCAGAGTGGTCTGGATGCTTGACTTCTGTAAAGCCAGTGGGTGCCATCGTGGCCTCTTTGTGCTTCGGGGGCATCTCACAGGCCGAGGGAGACAGGTCCCCCGAGGCTCAAGAATTGCCCTGTCCCCTTCCCTGCCTCCGGGGTCCTCTCCTCTCTTGCCTGGCTTGGTCTCACAGTGCTGGGATTGCCAGTGACGCCGGCTTTGTGCTTTTCAGGATTGGTCCAAGCTCCCCCTCTACGAGCAGCCGGGGGCAAATCTTCTGCCACGCAGAAAGGATCGGGTGGAGCTTCTCCGGGAGGCAGAACCAGGCTTGCCCCCCCTGATTTATCCGGGGCTCAGCTTGGAGGATGGTCCTCGACCTCGCCTGTCCCCAGCCTCCATTGCTGCCAAGGTACGGCCAGACCCCAGGAAGCACCCTTGGGCCACCTCGGCTGGTCTGGGGGTTCATTTGGGGCTCCATTTGGGCCAGTGCCCAAATCTCTGCTGAGCCATCACTGCCCAGCCCACGATCCCAGATCCAGGCATATTCCAAGGACAGACCACATGGAAGACCAGGAGCTGATTTTATTTCTGGGTATTTGAATAATTGGAATAAAATAAATTGTTCACTTCCAGTAGACAAAGCAGAAGGTGGGGCAGTTGGGGGGGAAACTAGGTAGGCTTCTAATTGCTCTCCCTTGAATGGGCCCAATTTTGAAAGTGTCTGGAAAAGGGATTTTCCAAGGATGAGGCCTCTGCCTCCCTCACCAGGTGGAGTCAAGGCAAGTGGCTCTCTGCAGAAGAGGGGCCGAGCAAAGGGTCCCCACGCTTGATCCTGGTCCCCAGGTAAACGATCCCAGAAGGCTTAAGCAGCCAATGAATGCAGCAGCTTCTGGCCCTGGCAGGTGTTCCTGAAGCTGTGAGTCAATGCGGAAGTAGCCAAGGAACTGGGAGGGGGGGTGTCATGAGTACTGTGCTTGTCTTTCTGGCTCTCTGTCCAAGCTCAGAAGCCTTGCTAATTGTAGCCCCCTCCTCCCCGCTGCCTAGGCAAGGTGCTCAGGGCGCAGCCGGAGTCAGGACTATCTTGGCAGCAGTGAGGTGGCCTCGGGATGCTGGCACCAAAGAGAGGACCCACCCCCATTCCTGGCCCTGGCCTCAGAGGCCTGCCGGCCTGAGCACAGGAGCCCTGCTTAGAGCTGAGGGCGTGGGGCGCTGCTGCTGCTGCTGCNCTCTCTCTCTCTCTCTCTCTCTCTCTCTCTCTCTCTCTCTCTCTCTCTCTCTCTCTCTCTCTCTCTTTCTCTCTACTTACCTACCTACCTACCTACTTACAGTGCCTGGGCCCTGACCTTGTTTCCCCCTCACAGCAGCACGGGGAGGAAGTGTCTCCAGCAGCCAGTGAGCTGGCCATGGTGCTGACCCACGGCCTGAGCCTGGAGCACCAGAAGAGCAGCCGGGATAGCCTGCAGTTCTCCAGTGGCTACAGCACCCAGACCACCACTCCATCCTGCTCAGAGGATGCCATTCCCTCTCAAGGTAGGAGGCTGGCTTCAGGGGGGGGCGCCTGGCTGGAAGGGTCGAGGAGATGGAGCCAGGCATGCTAAGGGGCTCTCCAAGCCACTGGAGAGGATCCAGGCGAGGAGGTTGATGGCAAGGGTTGGGCATCTCTGGCAGATCCCTCATAACCAGAAAACAGGACCCTCCTTTGATGGGGAAGTCCAGAGTTGGGAAGGGACTTCAAAAAGGCCAAGGGGCAGAAGCAGCTGCTCTTGGCGAGGCAGGACCTTCCTTGGCCTTCCCAGGAGTCCCACCCCACCCGTCGCACACCTGTCCTAAGCAACCCCTGTTGCTGGCTGAAGGCCTTGCCCAGCTCTTCATTTCTCCCAGCAGTGGAAAGAAGCACCAGGCAGGTGGGCTTTGCTGATGTTAAATGGACTCCAAGCTTTGATTTAGAAGGGTGCAGGCCGAGTCAGGACTCCCTCGATGTACCCCCTACAATATGTCTTGTCTTATGTAGTAACCTGTGCTTGGGCAGCTTTGTGCTGAAGCATGAGGGGTGGCTTTGACTCTGGGGTTCAGCTGACAGGGGTGTGGCCTCCAGAAATTAATGCCACAGAAGCTTGTGTTAACTTTGGGCATAGTCATACAATGACTCTGCTTACTCCCCCTCACCCATGCGCCTAGGAATTAGGGAGGTCTCTGTGTGTGTCGCGCGCACATGCCTCGTCCTTGTTTTGCACTGAAGCCTATTCTGGCAATGGCCCATTTCTGCCATTTCTCTTACTCGCTGTCCTTTGCCGGTCCTTGCTTCTGATGCATCCACCTGTCACTTCCTCAGGTTCAGAGTACGACTGCTATTCTGTGAATGGGGATATGGAGGGAGACAACCAGAATGAATTAGACAAATCCTCAACCATCCCTCGCAACAGCAATATTGCTCAGAATTATCGCCGGATGATCCAGACTAAGCGACCAGCTTCAACAGCCGGCCTGCCCACTGGCACTGCCTTGCCAACTGGGACCACGCCAGGCGTGGCTACCATCCGTCGCACACCTTCCACCAAGCCCACGGTTCGCCGAACTGTCTCCAGTGCTGGTCCGATTCCCATCAGGCCCCCCATTGTCCCTGTCAAGACCCCCACTGTGCCTGACTCGCCCAGTCACGCCGGCCCCCTCCGGATGGGCAGCGAAGAATGTGTCTTCTATGCCGATGATGCCTGCTCGGTGCACAGCCTCACCAAAGTCTCCCCCAAGAGGCTGAGCCTGCCCAATGCCAGCTGGGGCAGCAACACCCTGGAAATCTCAGTGTACACCGGGGCCGGGAAGCCTTCCACAGAAGAGGAACAGCAGCTGGCCGCCAACCGCCACAGCCTGGTGGAAAAGATTGGCGAGCTGGTGGCCAGCGCTCATGCCCTGGGAGATGGCCAGTTCCCTTTCCCCACAGTGTGCTCAGACCCTGGTCCTGAGGAGCAGACCCCCAACCTTCCTCTGGCTGCTTCCAGCGAGCCCCCCACTGAAGACATGTTGGTGGCCATCCGCCGTGGTGTGCGTCTTCGTCGAACCATCACCAATGATAGGTCAGCGCCACGGTTTTTGTGATTGCTCTGGCCAGCTGTTGACCCGAGCTCCTTTTGAGCACAAGGCACCCAGCCTCAGCAAAGGACTGGGCAACATGGCAGAGGCTGGGCGAACTGCCCAAAGGCTGCCATGCCCTTCACGGACACCTGATCAGGATCTGGGTAAAAGGAGACTAAATGAAATGCCTTTATTAAACCACAGACAAGACCCCCGCTTATCGATAACCGTTTTGGAGCCTGTTTTCTACCTTGTTCCATCCCTTGCACACTTTCTTTCTGGCTTCATCCACAGCAAGCCGGGAAACCGGCACCTGCTTTCCCTCCAACTCGGAGCACCACACAAAACAGAGCTCGTTTCCCATGGAAAGAAAACCCTCCTGTTCTGTTCTATTTTCTGGTTCTTCTCTGTGTTCTTCTCGTCCTCCAAAAGATATTCAGCACCTCCCTGAGATGTGGACTGCAGGCTGTGCGAGGAGCAGGACCACTTCCTGGGCTTCCTTGAGAAGGGCTTTCTCTTGGGAGGGGCTCCCTTCCAGTCGAGGGGGTCTCTCAGGTGAGACTGTCTCAGGGAGGGGACTTAATTTCCTTAAGAAGCGGCTCTTCCTTGCCCAATCCGGTCCCCACGTCTGGCTTGAGCTGCACGGAGGCCAGAGGCCTCCCTGGGGCAGGGCGGGCAGGGCAAGCGGTGTGCTTTGAGGCATGATTTACAGCACAGTTTGCATGGAGGCACATTGACTCCCCTGAGCCTTTTCTGTGGCAGAATGCAAGAATGCCTGTCGAAAAAGAGGGTGGAGATCAGGCCAGGTACAGATGTGGGGAGGATTCTGCCTCAAGCAGGAGTGGGCTTCACAGGCCTTTCTTGAAGGGGGAGAGTTCTGGTGAAGGACCAATGCCAGGGTGGGGCATCTTCAGCATAGCACTTGCCTCAAGCCATCTAAAGGCCTCAGGTCCCCTGGATCTGGGGTGTAAAGGAGGCTGGTCTGAGGGAGCATCAGGGTAGCTCCCCTTGGGCAGGTACCTCTCTTCTCAGACCAATCTGGACTCTTGACCAACTAAACAAAAAGGAGTTCAGGAGATGCTCCTTTGCTTGATGCTTTGGGGGAATCATTTGAACAGAGAAAAGCCCTCAGCTCTGCGACCACGATTGGTCTGGCAGATCACCCTGACTGGTGCCTTTGGTTTGACATGCTGGTGCCGGCTGGGCTCACATGCTCCACGAAGCCAGTCTGGTTGGCTTGATTTCAGCTCCACATGATGTGCAAGGCCACCCATGGCACTCAGAATCCTCTTGCACAAGGCTGAGCCATGTGGCCTGGCTCCCTTGGAAGAGCACAAGCGATGCTGAAGCTGTACCAGAGAAGGGGATAATGGCCGAAACACAAGAGGGACTGGAAACGGCTCCTCTTTCTCCTTTCGGGAACCTACAGCAATTTCACGGTGGGATGGTTTTGACGGCCAAGGATGGAAGCTGCGAGGAGAGCCGTGGCCCAGGCTTGCTCAGCTTCGCCCAGTGGCCTGAGCTATTGACCTGCCTTGGAGTGAGATTTCATTGCGCCTCTCCTTGGCCTCTGCCTGCGCCCAGGCTACTTTTGTGGCAGCCGTGCCTGGGCTCTGTCCTGCCTCGGTCACCTTTCCACATTGTTCATTCTTGTCTTACCAAACTGTTCTGCACTTTCATCCCCAGACCGTGTTGCATCAAAGAGGCTCGCCTCATTGTATAGTCCCGACCAGTTTTGTTTACAGATGTGGAATCTGCCTATTTTTGTAGTTGGCAGGAAGATTTTTAATGGGAATGTTGGCAGAAATGATGTCAAACGTAGCCATAATGCATTTATTCACAGCTGATGTGTGATGCAGCTTTTCCATGGTCTGCATCCAGATCTAAAGAGATGTGAAGGCATCTGCTTCTCCCAAGTGCTGACCTGGTGACCTTCACTTTTCCCTGAAACTAGAAGTTAGTCTCTGTTGGCAAAAGGAAAGTGATGGCAGGAAAGAGAAGATGGTTTTGAAAGGTTGGAGAGAACGGAAACGAGTGGAAACTGAACGGTGTAGACACACAAAAGCTTTGAGAAAAGCTGCCTTGCCTTGTGCAGGGCTAGGAAGGAAAATTGCTGCATGTCTGGTTGCAGGTTGCAACTCTGCTCGTTCTCCTGTTTTTGGTTGCAGCTATTTGATGCTGTGGTACAGGGGGCATCCAGAGGTCAACATATGGTACACATGAGCACAGAGACAACAAAATTGAAATTGAATGTTTGCTGCTATTGCACCAATTAAGGATTCCAGTATGTTCACCAGTAGGGAAAAAAGTATATTTAGAAAACTTGAGTTATTTCAAGAAGCACACATCAAATTTAAGCATAGAACTAGGACATGTAGGGTAGAAAATTTTAGGGCACTGATTTTCCAAACCTGGTGTTGGGACTTCCAGTTTATACTTCTGGAGAACATGAAGTCTGCTGAGGCCCTGTTCTGAGGGGTAAAGAGCTCGGGGCAGGAAAGGTTCTGCAGTGGGCCCAGAAGGGCTGGGGGCTTCCTTGGCAGTGGAGAGGCAGCTTGTCTCCCCAAAGGCCTTTGAGGGGGCAGCATCCCAAGAGGAAGGCCTACCTTGTACATAGCTGTTTCCTCCCCATCCAGTTCCACCCACCTGTGTGTGTGCATCATTGTAGGCCCGACTCTTTGGCTCTTGTGATAATACTTTCGTTTTAACATGCCTGCCCTCCTGTGGTTTCCACACACCTCAAACGTGACTGTGAGATCCTTGCTTTTTGCTTTTCCCATTTGTTTTGTACAAGAAGAAACAAACCTTCTAAAATGTCCTTCAGCTGAAGTAACTGTCCTGGTGCTGTTAGCTTGTTCTTCCTTCCCATCCCATAATTTATTTTCCTTCTAGCAGTCCGAGCTTCTCCACATACGCCCTTTCTTCCAATTTAGTTATGTGATCTTTTTTTCATTCAAAATAGCCACCGCTACAGGTAACAAATGCACTGTGAAGATTTCAGTATTAATAAAAGTTGTACTGTAATTAATGCAAATGTTACTCCTCTTTATTCTACCCTGATTAAAAAGAAGTGTAAATGTTTGTCAGTTTCTTCAACCCCACAATTACCCAGCCAAAATCATCTCTACATTTTGCAGCACAGCAGATATTCTTAGATGGTTAGACAGAACTGCCTTCAGCCCCAGTTGATGCGGGATATTGGATGATCATGGCTGCGCCTACATCCAGAATGAGAGCCAGCATTGCGGTGAAGTTGCCAAAAGTATTTGTGAGACAACCGTCCAGTCTGGCTGGAGCATATAGTCCAGTTTGTTGATAAGGCCACCTCTGCAGCACAGTTGCCGTTTCTGATCTGTTGTGCTGCTGCACTGGGCTGAACCTATGGCACCTTCCTTCCCTCTCTTTGTCTGGAATGATGTAGGGTTTCCTACAGATTACTAATATTAGGTTACCTTATTCTGCCCCTACGTCGCAGAAAAAGGGCCTCCCGTCGCCCTATTAATATTAATAAGGCATTAATAAGAAAGAGGGGAAAAATAACCTTAATTTAATAAGCTTACTTATTAAAGTAAAGCTTACTTCTAACAGGCACACAAGACATCCACACAATTTCCACCAGAGCTTCAACAGCCACAATGCGGCGGAAAAGCCTTTCAGAGTATTCCAGAGCAGTTTTCCCATTCCAGGTGAGTTTACAGACGGTCGCGATCAATTTGTGAAAGAATGCTGGATGTTGTTTTTCACGCAAGCTTTCCGTCCCAGCTCTTCAAGCAACCCAACAGGTCCTCCTTCGCTGGCGATATAGGAGGGGAAGCCACCTGTTTCGATAAGCGGTCCTAGAGCGTGAGAGTCTGAGTCCTGCCGTCAAAGAAGGAACAGTAGGCACAAAAGGAAATCAAACTTTTTAATGTGATTTTAAGATTATTCTGCATCTACGGAAACTCATTAACTCGGTTTAAGACTTTTGAAGCAGGATTCCTCCTCCCTCGTCCATTCCAGGGGCCGGAAAATAGCAGCCACCCAAAGAAATCCACCTTTTTAATGGCATTTTAAGGTTATTTTTCCTTCTCCATAAAACATTATTAATATTAGGCCATCCTAGGCTTTCTTAACTAGGTTTAAGGCTTTTGAAGCAGATTTCTTCTTCCGCGCCTGCGTTGCAGCAAACGGGCCTCCCCTGGCCCTATTAATAAGGTGTTAATACCGTTAATAAAGATAGAGAATACCGTAATCTTAAAATGCCATTAAAAAGGTTTATTTCTTTTGGTGGCCGCAATACCCATTTTTGACCACAGGAGGGCACAGTTTTCCATCCCATAAGCACAATAAAATCCCTTCAATACCATAATCTTAAAATGCCATTTAAAAGGTTGATTTCTTTTGGTGGCTGCAATACCCCTTTTTCCGTCCCATAGCTTTAGCTTTGGAGTCCATCATAGGCCTTTTTAGCGGTCTCCCTCCTATAGCTAAGGCAGGGGTAGGCAACCTTGGCTCTTTTGTGACTCGTGGACTTCAACTCCCAGAATTACCGAGCCAGCCACGCTAAGGGACGGAAAAGAGGTCAAATCAGATACAGCAGCCACACAAATAAATAAACCTCTTTAATGGCGTTTTAAGATGATTATTCTTTATTATTAAAACCTTATTAACGTTAATAAGCCACGATAGGCCTTAACTCGGTTTAAGACTCGAACCAGGATTTCTTCTGCGCCCGCGTCGCACCGACCGGGCCTCCCGTCGCCACGTTAATATTAATACTAAGGCGTTAAGAATAAAAATAAAGAAGAATAACCTTAAAACGCCATTAAAAAGTATTTCTTTCTTTCGGCGGCAGCAATACCCGTTTTTGACCACAGGGGGGCAGGGTTTCCCGTCCCATAGCATTAACACCGAGGCGGTCGTAGGCCTTTTGCCCAGAATCGGGACACCGAGAAGCTAAGCCCCAAAGCGCAGAGCGTCAGCCAAAGCGTCGCCCATCTATGCTCCTCCGAAAGGGACGGGCCGCTTCCCTGGGCCTCCTGCGC